GCTAACTAGTTAGAGATTTTTATTCTCACCCAGTGTATAAAGAAAGCAGTAATAAGAAAGAAGAATGAGAAGAATAAAGAAACATAGTTTACCAAGCTGACATCGATCGGCACCTCTACCAAGAGGGCATTGACACCTCTGCCTGAAGGAGTTAGGTTCCTTCTGTTGCCTAAGTGCTACGTTGTTGCCCTCGAGATCCATAGTCATCGATCCATCCTCGTTGCTGCTGCCATTTCTCTCAGCAACTAGTATAATGCGTACGTCTTCATCGAGTGATGGTTCAACGAAACAATTCCCGGGTCCACAATCCAAAGTGCAACTTGTTTCCGTACTTGTTATAGTATTACTATTATTATTATTAATATTATTTTCTTCGTTTGTTATCGACCACGATCTCGTTCCTAATTTTCCCGTTGAACTTGGTACCTGTAAATAATAATGATTGTTGTTTTCTTTTTGTGCATTTAATAAATAACTTTACTTTTATATTTTTTGTTTTTTTATTTATCACAATTTTTCTGTTCACGTTACTTCATTTTTTATTCCATTTAATTTTTAATCCTCTATAGGCTGAATTTTTGTTGTAAATAGAAAAATAATAATTGCGACTGAAAATCTTAATAATTGTTATATGAAGATGAAAAGAACAAATTTTACGGTTTAAATAATTTTATTACAATAAATTCACTGTGTAACTTTTAAGTAATGTTTTCAGTTCTGTGTAGAAAACTTTAAACGTGAAATTCTACAAAGTATAATTTTGTATAAAATTTCTTTAATTTATTTAAATTTGTATTATTTTTGTTTATTTTAAAAAGTGAATTCTAAATCCATTTTATTATTTTGTTGTTAATTGGTATAACATTTACAAGTAATAATTAAATGTCATTATAAACATTTTCCGGAAAATACATAAAAAATTAGGATTTAAGTTATTATTCACAAATCAAATAAAACGTATTGTATACTATTCCTCCAATTATTTATGTTTTTATTGTTCTCTTACGTATTTTCTTTATTTAAAAAATATAAGTTGCAAGAGGAATAATATATTTTTAATTGAAAAAAAAAAAAACTTAAACCATCCTAAATTTGTCAACAATTTTGACTAGCAAGATATTTTTAAAATCAACTCCTTGAGATTATAAGCGCATATATGCGTCCAACAAAAACAATACGCTTGTAAATTTTTTTCTACCTTCCTTGGCTCAAAATTCTTATTTCTTGTAATTTTAATTATGCTTTATTAAAAAAAAAAAAAAAAGCATAGACAATACTTTTCCTTGCATAATTTTCTTCCATCCATTCATTCATTCATTCATTCATTCATCCATCCATCCATCCATTCATCATTCATTCATTCACTCATTGATTGATTGATTCATTCATTCATTTATTAATTGATTGATTGATT